TGTGTATTTGGAATAGTTCTATTGTGTCCCACTTTCTTTACCTTGAGTATGTGGAATAGTTTTGTTGTGTCCCAATTTCTTTACCTTGAGTATGTGGAATAGTTTTGTTGTGTCCCAATTTCTTTACCTTGTGTATGTGGAATAGTTCTATTGTGTCTGACTCTCTTTTGTTTCAGTATGTGTAACGGTTCTATTGTGTCCCACTTTCTTTACCTTGAATATATGGAATATATATATGGAATTGAACAGTTCTTTTGTATCCAGTGTTATTCATGTTGAGTATGTGGAATAGCTGTATTTTGTACCCTTTTGTTTATCTTGTGTATGTGGAATGGTTTAATTGTGTCCCACTTTCTTTACTTTGAGTTTGTTGATTAGTTGTATTATGTCTCACTTTCTTTCCTTTCAGTATGTGGAACGGTTCTATTGTGTCCCACTTTCTTTGCTTTCAGTATGTGGAATAGTTGTATTATGTCTCACTTTTTTACCTTCAGAAAGTTGAATAATTGTATTTTGTCCCGCTTTATTTACCTTGAGTATGTGGAATAGTTCTATTTTGTCCCACTTTCTTTACCTTGAGTATTTGTAATAGTTCTTTTGTGTACCACTTTATTTGCCTTGAGTATGTAGAATAATTGTATTGTGTCCCATTTTCTTTACCTTGAGTATGTGGAATAATTGTATTATGTCTCACTTTCTTTCCTTTCAGTATGTTGAACAGTTCTATTGTGTCCCTCTTTCTTTACATTGAGTTTGTGGAATTCTTGTATTGTGTCTCATTTTTTTACCTTCAGTATGTGGAATAATTGTATTCTGTCCCACTTTCTTTACCTTGAATATGTGGAAATGTTTTATTGTGTCCCACTTTCTCTGCATTGAGTATGTGGAATTGTTGTTTTCTGTCCCATTTTCTTTAACTTGAGTATGTGAACTAATTTTATTGTGTCCCACCTTTATTATGTTCAGTATGTGGAATAGTTGTATTTTGTCCCCCTTTGTCTATCTTGTGTATGTGGAACAGTTCTATTGTGTTCCATTTTCTTTACATTGAGTATGTGGAATAATTGTATTAAGTCTCACTTTTTTCCTTAAATATATGTTCCAAAAAAAAAAATCCTCCATATCATACTTAGATAAAACCTTCTGAAAGAGGGATAACAAACAAACACCAGATACGAGTAGAAACGTTAAATAATGTACAGAACGAAAAAACGATAATTAAGTTAAAGAAACTCGAAATTATATATAAACTACAAAAAAATGTCCTAATGACACAAATTTTCAAAGACACTTGGAAAATAAACGAACATTTAGTTAGATGAGGAAAACACCCATAAACGATACATAACTCTACAGAAGAGTCGACATGCGATTGAGAACTTCGAAAATCAAGGATATTTTTGACCAAAACTTAAAACACACAAAGGTTTGTACAGATAATTAATATTTTGCATAATTCCCAACCCTTTTAGAAGAAGAGTTTACTTTTAAAAAATCTGGTAAGGGTATTCTTATGACGCACTATTATATCTATTATAATCATTTTTCGGGTGTGTGAAATCGTTACGTTAGCACCACAACAATTCTTGTGTTTCCAAATGTCTTCTATAAATAGCGTTTACAAATAAAGATTAAAGAGAGACAACGTGTAGAACCAATGCTTATTATACAAAACGATACATTGCTGTAGCAACACTGTAAACCATATAACAATCATGTAAATCGACACATTACACACGAAACTGTGAACACATCTAAAATCAATAGTTTCCAAAAAAAACCCTCGATATCATACTTTGATAAAAGCTGCTGAAAGAGGGATAACAAACAAAGGAGTTGAATCATGTTAAATAATGTACAGAACGAAAAAATGATAATTAACTTAAAGAAACTCGAAATGATATACAAACTACAAAAATATCCTAAGGTATGTAATTGCGCTACCTTCATACGGGTATTACTATCGTTAGTCTTCATCGAACTGACGAGTGCGTGAATGCTCATCATACATCAAGGTTTTATACGCAATATGACTGTTCAATTAATATTAAGTAGAAATAGTGTTAGATTAATGTTAGGTTGTAGGTTTGGAAAACTTTATAAGGTTTCAAGAAGAGGTAAGTTGCTTATTTACAGACTTTAATTAAAATTTTATCATTTCAGTATATCTGGCCAACCTTGTTCAAGTTACTGTACTCAAATACAACGTATTTTCATAGGTAAAGCCTAATTCAAGATACTAAGGGAACACTTGAAATTCAATTTCAAGTTCAAATTACTGTTCTTGTATTACATTAATAATTAAGTTTGCTGGTAACTTTTTTGGAATGTATGTTGCACGCAACGTATATTTGTGGCAAAAATGGAGTGCGAACATTAGAGTAAGGAATGGGGAAACAGTTTAAAACTATAGAAGGATATAATAAATATATAATAATATTAGTAGTACTAGTACTGGTAATATTAATAATACCTAGATACACATTTCATATACAATTTACCAAAAGGCATAACTTTAAGTTTAATAAAGTTAATACTTTATACTAGGCCTCAATTGAAGTATTACATTTATAAATAATATGTGTACAGTTTTGCAAAATCTTGGCGTTATAAAATTATATAATTTCTATTCGAAGAAAAATTATGGAGATAGATTAAGATGTCTTGAGAAATGAAGGATAAGAAGCAGTCTTACTGAGTGAAGTGTACAGAAAACTATATTTTTTGATAGTGAGGTGACAATGACAGATTAGTTGTTGGTACAGTGGTAGTGGAACAATTAAGGAACATTATTTTTTGCAGTGCATGTAAGAGCAGTGATTTTGTAAGTTGTAAATTTCTATCTGCAGGTATGGTTAAGGGTACTGTTACAACAATAGGCTTAATACTAGATTGTTAGGCATTTATTTTCGTTTTCGGGTAACTACTACTGTACTAGTACTGGGTTATAATTTTTGGATAAACTTATTAAATACTAGATTGAAATAGTTTTCACTGGCATAAGCTAAGTAAGAAGGAAAACATGTTTAATTTAAGTTTAAGTTACTGATTTTTTAGTTATTCAAATGTATGTATAAAACCTAAAAAAAATTTTTGTTTCATATCCTCCACATGCAAAATTTTATAAGCTTAGCAACCTAT